CAGCCTGGGATGTGCCCTGACCAGGAATCAAACTGGCGACATCTTGGTTCATGGGTCGGTGCTCAACCACTGAGCCACACCGGCCGGGCCCCTTTAGCCTTTCTTTCATACCTGGCCAGACAGATTCTCCAGAATGATTATTTGTATCTTCTCTCTCTGTCCTCAAAAACCTTGGAGAGCTGTCATCACCATAGATAAGTCCAAACACCTCAGGCCCAAGACCCCTCACTGGCATTATCCCACATGATATGAGTGGAGGCTCTGAAGCTGGGTTCTGGGATCGTATCCTGTTCTTGACATTTACATGCTGAATGACCCTGGGCAAGCACCTAACCTCTCTGGGCCTGAATTTCTTCTTTGAAATCGCTTTATATATATTAAAAAAAATGTGTGATCACTTCTCGGGTTACTGTGAGGATTAAAGGCACATAGAACAATGCTGGATGCATAGTCAGCACTGAGGTGCTAGCCCGTTATTGCACTGGTTTTCACAGTGCATGCTGCAGTCTGCACGCCCTCCCCTGGGTGCACACACCAGCCTCTCCTAGTGCCTTTGCTCAGTCCAGTCCCTCAGTCTAGAATGTTCTCTGTTGGCTGAGCCTTACTCAGCCTTCAAGGGCCACTTGTCTCCCATTTCCTCCGGGCAAACACTTGTTTGCACTTTCTGCCGTGATGCTCAGCCTGGGCTAGGTGATGGTGTCAGGGTTGTGAAGCCAGCCGTCAGCCACACGTGGTGCATCTTCCTGGAGGGTTTATTTTCCTTGATAAGTAAGTTTATTCATTTTATGTCCAGATGTAGAATGCAAAATTAACCAAAGGTTTTTAAGATCACACGATAAAGAATATTCAGAGTGGAGGCATCTTGGGCCACCCCAGCCCTCGTGGGGAGTCTGCATTCCTTCTGCAGCGAAGCGGTCTGAGGAGCAGGGACGCGGTGAGGAGGGGGCTGGGTGCGGATGAGGAAGGCAGGGACTCCGCTGCAGTGCAGGTGGCGGTCCTTGTGCTCAGGGCCCCTGCCTGAGGATCACCCACGCAGGTGGTGTCGAGCCTTCTGAGAATCCCTATCTACACCACTCCTAGTTGCCCCGAGGTAGCACTTGTATCGCATTGATTTTTCACTTTCTACATGGGTGGGTCTGATCTCTTCAACACCCTAAGCACTTGGAGCACAGGTGCACGTGCGAGTGCAGGTGCAGAGTAGGTGAGGGGAAGACAGACCTGGGAATGAATTGGGCCCTGGGCCTTACTGACTGAGCAAGTCACTTGCCCTCACAGACTCCTTTCCTTATCTGAAACGTGAATAATATTTCCTAACGAGGTTCTGGGGAGTCAACCAGACAGAGGATGTGCAGCATCCAGCACAGCAGATGGCGCGGATGGCACGTAGTAAACATCAGAGCCCTCCCAGCCACACCAGGCTCGGCAAACATCTGGCTCCCAAACATCCCCACTCCCAACCGTACTCCCCACCCGTGTCTAGTCCCACATCCTCTGCCTCCCTTCCTGTCACGGTGGATGCTCCTATCCAAGGCCATCCTCATCCTGGCCCTTCTCACCTTCACAAAGACCCCGCTCATAACCGCTGCCCGGTCAGTGTCCCTCCCTGTTGGATCACTTTATTTACCGTGTAATTAGGCTGTAATGTCACTCTATCTAAAACAAAAGACAAAACAAACAATAAATAAAAACCCCTCCCTTCGTCCCACATCCCCTTCTAGTTACTACTCTATTTCTCTGCTCCTTTTACAGTCCAGAGGCCCTGAAAGAGTTGGCATGCTCCCTGTCGGCCCTTCCACCATCCCCTGGAGCCACCCCGCACACTCCTACCCCGCCGTGTCGTGAAGCTGCTCATCTCCATGACCTCTGCACTGGAGTCCAGCGTGCTGTTCCCAGGCTTCCTTTACTGTGTGAGACCTTTTTTTAAAAAGTATTTTGCCTTTATTGATTTTAGAGAGAGAGGAAGAGAGAGAGAGAGAGAAACATCGATGAGAGAGAACATCGATTGGCCGCCTCCTGCATGCCCCCAACTGGGGATCAGGCCCACAACCTGGGCATGTGCCCTGACCGGGAATCGAACCGGTGACCTCTCAGTGCATGGGTCGACGCTCAACCAGTGAGCCACACCAGCCAGGCTACTGTGTGAGACCTTGAAACACCTTCTGTCCAGACCTCCCAGGCCCTACCCACTCCTCAGCTTCCTTTCCTGCATGCCCTCTTCTCCCTTGCTGTGTGTGGAAGACCCAGGGCTGTCCTTGGACCACTTCTTACCTCCATCTGTGCTCAGGTGACCTCATTCACACTCATGGCTTGAAGTGCCGTTTAAAAGATGCTCAAACTTAGCCCTGGCCGGTTTGGCTCAGCGGTTAGAGCGTCGGCCTGCAGTCCAGAGAGACCCGGGTTTGGTTCCTGCTAAGGGCACGTACCTCAGTTGCAGTTCGTTCCCGGCCCTGGTTGGGTCGTGTGGGTGGCAGCCACTCAATGTGTCCCTTTCATGTCGATGTTTCTCTCTCTCCCACTCTATCTAAAAAAAAATGATGCTCAAACTCATACTTCAAATCTAGAGCTCTCCCCAGAACTCCAAACATACACATCTGCTGCCTGCTCCCATCTCTGCTTGGATATGTCACAGATGTCAAACCCAAGCTCTTGATTCCCACCCCACCCTACCCATCCCACAATCTTTCTCATCTTCGTAATGGGACTCTGGCCTTCCAGGTGCTCAAGCCAAAACCTTTGCCGTTATCCTTGGCTCCTCTCTCTCGTACCCCACAGCCAACTGATCAGCAAGCCCTATCAGTCAGTTCTCCCTTCAAAATATAGACATGATCTGGCACTTCTTCCCCCCTCCGTCTCCCCACCCTGGTCCAAGTCACCATCGCTTCTCATGAGCCAACCACAATAGCCTCCTGCGTGGTTTTGCCTCTTCTTCCCCAGCACCCCAATTTGTTCTCCAACAACCAGAGTAATGTTTTCAAACATGTTTGATTATGTCATTTTATTGGCTTCAAACTCATCAATGCCTTCCTCTTACTTCAGAATAAAATCTAGAAATTCTATCCTGGCCTGCAAGGCCCTGTGGGACCTACCTATTGCCTCTCTGGCTTCACTTCCCACCACAGTCCCTTCACTCCCTCTGCCCCGGCCACACTGACCCCCGCGTGTTCCTTGACCAGGCTGGAGCACTCCTGCATCGGGGAGGGTGTGCTTGTGGTTCCTTCTGTCTGGAGCCACTCACACAGGTGAGAGTTCGCCCCGATACTTCCGCCAGCTCTCTGCTTATTTTATTTTTTTTATCCTCACCCGAGGACATTTTTCCATCTTTTGCTCAGGTAGAGTGGGAGGGAGAGAGAGGAACAGAGAGAGAGAGAGAGAGAGAGAGAGAAACATCGATGTGAAAGGGACACATCGAGTGGCTGCCACCCACACAACCGACCAGGGCCGGGGACAAACTGCAACCAAGGTACATGCCCTTAGCGGGAAACGAACCCGGGTCTCTCAGGACCGCAGGCCGACACTCTAACCGCTGAGCCAAACCGGCCAGGGCCGCCAGCTCTCTGCTTAAAGGCTACCTGTCTGAGAGCCTTCCCTGACCTGCTCTCTGGCACTCTCTGGTTTCTGACCCTAATTTTGCTTACCACTAACCACCCCAACACAGTATTTACGTTCTTTTCGTCCACCTCCTCACCACGAATAACACCCAAGAGAACCTCTAGTGCTGCATCCAGGCACTGCACAGACAGGCAGAACGTGGTGTGGACAGGAAGAGCCCGGTGCACATGGACCCAGTCTCTGCACCACCATGTCCTGCTGGGGCTGCCAGGCAGCTTCGCATAACCTTCCCAGGTCTCAGCTTCCCTCTCTATAAAATCTACCTTGAAGGTTTGTAAGGGAGTTTAGAGATAAAACATTTAAAGTCCTTGAGGCATGATCAGTGTTCAATAAAATGGGTATTAAAAAGAGCACTTTTAAAAGAGCACAGTGTGGCTCAGTACTTGAGCATCAATCCATGCACCAAGAGGTCACTGGTTTGGTTCCCAGTCAGGGCACATGCCCAAAAGTTGTGGGCCCGATCCCCAGTGGGGGGCAAGCAGGAGGCAGCAACTGATGTTCTCTCTCATCGATGTTTCTATCTCCCTCTCCCTCTCCCTTCCTCTCTCTCTAAAATTAATAAAGGAAAAAAGAAAAAAGACCACTTGGTCATTCTCTAGGCCTGTTTCCAAGGAGTTTGTAGTGCTAGGGCTGGCATAGCAAATGAAGGTGACACCTTGTGAGTACTGATTACATTCTCCATGTCATATTGTCTCAGGGTCCCCTAAACGTTGTTTCTGGCTTCAGCCGGTTCTCTTCCATCCCCAGCACCATCCAGTTTCCTACCAAAGCCCCTCAGACAGTGGCCATCTCTGAGCAGCTCCTGTGGGTTGAAACCTTCCCTCAATCTTCCTTTGAACCCCCATGTGGGAAGCAGAGGTACTCGCTGGAAATGTGTAAGTCTGTCTGGGCTTCATGAGCCATGGGCCCCACAGATCCTCCTCTGACAGAGGACCCATTTTTGGGAGGTGGAGAACACTGGGCAGGCTAGGTGGTTGGTCTAGTTTTTCTCAGGCTGGTCAGTACAGGGGATCAAAGAGTAGTTTCCTTGTGTACCACCAGGGGGCGCCGGAGGTTGCTAAGTTCTAGTGAGGACTTGCGGTTTTCTAAGGGGTCTTTCCTCTTTCTCAGGTCTAAGGCTAGGCAGCGGAAGGAGGTACTTGCATCTTGTAAAAAAGTGTGGTGCTGGCTCTCTCCCACCTATCAACTTGCTGGGTGCCGCCAACCCAAGCAAAGCCACATTAAGGAACCGGAGGTTAGGTTTCCAGGCTGTGTTTTTATTGATAAGCATTAGTGAGCTCTGTGAGCTCAGCCAGTTCTGCCCGCGGATCCCCAGCCCTGGGTAGAGAGTGCATCTGTTTAAGACTGGTCTGCCAAGGCTGTGCCTAAAGTGCATTCCCATCCCCAGGATCGCGGTGTTTAGGTCAGGGAGGCATGTGGCAGATGTCAGAATGGCCATGGCCAGGTTCTTATCCTCAGAGACCACCATCGCTGTAGGGAGTCCTCCGCAGTTCTCAGAGGAGCTCTGGAGGCCTGCTGGAGGGAGGGCTGAGTGCGGAGACCTCCAAAGTCAGCCTCTTTCCTTCCCTGTGAGACTCCTTCCTGCCAAATGTTCTTCACAGCAGAACTGAGCTGAGGGGCAGCAACTGGCTCTTGCTTGTGTCCTGAGGTTCTTGAGTAGCAGGCAGGAGATCTTACGTGGTACCTCAAAGGGGATAAAGATGCCAGAGACTGTGCAAGGGAGGGTGGGGGAAGAGAAACCAGCGAGAGTCGTTAAGTTTTTTTATCTGATTTCACCAGCACCCATTCTTGGCTTTGACTTACAGTCCTTGGCCATCCCCTCAGTACTAAATAGATAGTACCTTGGGCCCTGGGTATCCCCCCCCCCCCCATTAACTCAGATAAGAATAATTAAAGCAACCTCTGCCCTCCTGAGCCAGGCACCTTATAGAACTTTCTTGTTTGCTCAGCAAGGACCCCTAAGCCAGCATCCATTTCTCCCTCAGGTCAGGCAGCCCCCACCCAGGGTCAGCGGGTTGGTGGTGCCTGGAGAAGGTTCTGGCCTGTCTCTGACCTGAACTGGAAGCGGGGGTCTCCAGGGTGGGTTTGCAGCACCTGATGCACTTCTGGGGGAGGCTCCAAGCCCATCTGCTTTGCCCGGTGCCAGCGCTGCAGCCTTGTGATTCCTGCCAGGGTGGGAAGAAGACAGTGGGGTCCCTTGGGTAGAGAAGAGCCCAGGCCAGAGAGTGTGGAGCGGCGTGTCGGGACTGCTACACTCCTGTCTCAGGAGACAGTGCCTGCGAGGGTCAGGCAGGGGCTTGGGTTGTTTCAGAGATATGCAGGTGACAGGACTGGTTCCAACATGTGCTCCTGGGGCCTGAGGGGGTCCTCACCTGTGCAGGGCCCGAACTGCCAGGCCAGGTCAAACTGCCTCAGCAGCTCCAGCTCCTCTTCGTCCACACTCAGGGGCTGGATCTCTGCTTCTGCAATGACAAGCTGCTCCTCAGGCCTGCCCAGGACTGTGCCCTGCAGGACTGGTTCCCTGCCCTTTGCCTCACAGCTGCCCCACTGCTCCTCAGCCCTCACTGCCCCTCTGCTTCTGTCTTCCGCTGCCAGGCCTGGTGTAGGAAGCACAGGACATACTTAACTTCCCCTTGCATTGCCCACGTCCGCCCACGTCCCACGTCCCACGTCCCTCCGAGTCCACTCCTCCCGCCCTCCCCGCACCTCGGAGACCTAGCTCTGTTGCCAGCTCCCCCTTGCTGTGTCCAGCGGGGCCCTCCCTCCTCTTCACTACTGGGTAGGAGTCAGTGATGAGCTGCTTCCGGCCCATGGCGGCCACCCAGGTAGGCGGAGAAGGAGGCGACTGCGGGAAGGAGAGAGACCGGCCAGCAGCACGGGAGAGACAGCTGCTGAGAGAGGGAGAGAGTCGAAGAGGGAGAGAGAGGGGGTTGGGGCCGGAGAGCGAGTCTGGGACCAGCAACGGGCAGACAGAAAGACCAGACCAGCAGAGAGGAAGTCCGCGTTCCCAGAGAATGTGATGGCTCTCCTTGCCCACAAGCACGCAAACATCAAAGACCCAAGCCAATGGCAGGTCGCCTCCGAGGGGTGTGGCCTGGCTCCAGCCAATGGCGCACGGCGCAGGCCGAGAGGGCGGGGCAGCCGCTGCAGCTGTGTTGTAGGCGAGAAGGGGTGAGGCTGTGGTGGGGGACCTGTCAAAATGCCCCAGACTGCACCACGTCCTCCTGCGCCCCCCCACTGGCCTGCAGTGGGTCTCGGGGGACTCACAGAGCGTTATCCTCAGACTCTCACTTCCCGTTTTCCCTTCCTAGGCAAATGTTCTTTTCAGCCTCACTAATCCCCGTGGCAGGTTTGTAACTCCCCAGAGCCCAGCTGGAGCCTTCCACTCCCCTCCCCCTTGGCCCACGGAATGTTGTGGAGGCAGGTCTGGAGGTCCGAAGAGAGTTTGGGCTAATCCAGCCCTCTTCCCTGCTCCCACCCCACCCCCACTGGCCCCAGGAGAGCTGGCTGGAGAAGCCCATGGATTTGGAAAGCTCCTTTCTCACAGTCTGCGCCCAAAGATACTGCCCACCCTGAGTCCAAGCAAGCGGCTGCCTTGTCGGCTCTCCTGGGGTCCCACAGCCTGCCCCTGCCGGCCCTGCCAGTCAGGACGATTCCACACCGAGCAGGAGACCAGAGTGTGTTTGGATCCCCAGTTCTTCATCGCGAACTCTGCCTTATCTGTATCACACTAATGTGAGCGTGTGAACAGAAAATACCAACAGTAACCCTAACACTTATATGACACATACAGTGTGCCAAATACTGTTTTAAGCACTTCCCTACAGATTCGCTCAACTCAAATCGATGTAAAATGGTTCTGGAAAGTAGGTACAGGCATTGCGGGGCCCTAGTTAAACCACAGGGCCTCGGCACTCCCCAGGAGCTCACGGGCTATAGGGCAGGCAGATGGGACCCACAAGTTGGTGGTGCGAGGATAAAACTAACAAGCAGGAGGGGGGGAGGGGGGTCAGAAATGGGTTGGACCACAGAACTGGCTTAGCACTGGAAGACCTCCTGGAGGAAGCAGGCTGAATAAACAGTGCCTCTCAATTCTCCACCCATGACCTTTGTCCCTGGGCTCCTGTCATCGCTGACTCACCCCTACACCCTCCTCCCCCTCACCAACTTCCTGGCAGCAGGCAAAAGTGCTAGCCTGTGGGAGTCTGGGAATCTGCACGGGGACCAGCCCTGTTCTAGTCGCCCTCCAGGGGTACAGGGTCTACTCAGAGGGCACTGCCTTCCCCTCTCCCACTGCTCTGGGTCAGGGAGCCCATGATAGGAGGAAGCTGGGCACCAGTGAGGAGTAGCTCTGGAGAGTGGACCACTGAAGGGGAGGAGCAGGGCAGGCGTCTCCAGGGGCCTCCCGCCGGCTCTTCCATCCGCTCCCTTGAGGGCCGAGTGGTGGAGGGCGCGCTCAGCTCATGGACCACTGTCCAGAGCTCCAGGGCCTTCCCTGCTGTATCACTTGGGCTGGGCCTGACCTAACCCCCCATCTGCCTTACGGACTAAGTGGGGCCCACTGAGGGAGGGGAGCAGGGAGGCCCTCTCCACCAGGCCTACCAAGGGTTTGGGTGTGGGATCCAGTCTGGCACTGAGCAGTCTGTGGAGGGATGATGGGGTCCAGGCTCTGTGGGACTGACCACCCCTCCCCAGGGGACATTGCCAGAAGTGTGGCACCCAACTGCTGAGCCCACAAAGTCCTGAGGGAGTAGGGAGCCATGGGTGGGGCAGATCCCTCCTCATTCCTGGTCCCTCCCACCCCTGAAAGCTGATAGCCGTGAGGCCCTGCCACCGCCCAGGGAGCGTGAAATGGGGTGTGCCGATGGGCAGCCACAGTGGCTCCTACTGCCACGGGAGCCTATTCCCTCTCCCCTCTGGCACCCTGACCTGCTCTGTGGACACTGCCTGGACCGTCCCTGCCAGCTGCCCCCAGCTCTGCTAGCCTCTCCCATCCAGCCTGGAACATGGCTCCCTTGGCCTTCAGCTTCACCCAGTTCCAAGAAAGAGAATCAGAGCAGACACCTGAAGACTGACTTTCTGGCCTGGAGCTGCAGAAACGCCCCACTGGCAGCACCAGCCTCCTCTCCTACTCAGACAATGGGCCCGAGCTCCCGAGGCTCACAGGAACTGGCACCCGGGGTATAGAACCATCCCTGTCCAATAGGCACCCTTCCATGACTTGTGCTGCGGCTAAGCTGGACCTTGGCCTGCCCATCCTTGGGTAGGTCTTTTCCTTCTTTACTTCCCCAACACCGCCTGCCCCGTCACCTTCCTTCCGGAGGCCCTGCCCTCCCAGGCAGCCTCCTGGCCTATGCCCAGAGCTGCTGTCCTGGCGCCTGTCACAGGTCAGCTTCGGGCGAGAAGGCCAGGCTGGAGGTCTGAGTTGGAGGCTAAATTCTCTCCTTTAGGGAATTTCCTGAGACCAAGACTAGGTTCCTGTGTCAGCCCTGACTCCCAAAGGCTGGTGGTGGGACTAGCAGGAGTGACCCCTGCCTGGGAATACGCAAGGCCCTTGCTTCATGGTCAGGACCAAACTCTTGGGGGAACTCAAAAGAAAAGGAGAGAAAAGAACTGGAACAGACGCTCAGAACCTTCCTGAGGGCTGAGGCCCACCTCCAACTGCTCCGAGGGAAAGGGGGTTTAAGCCTGGTTTAGCTAAGACCACATGGCAGGATGGGGGCCTCAGCACTGGACATGTGCCCTAAGAGCCCCTTCCCTCCCCCAGTTCGTGATGGAGCTTGTGGGGAGAGCCAGCTAGAGCTGGGGAGGTGGGGGCAGGCAGAGGGCGGGAAGCAGCGGCCTGGGGCCCAATGCGCTGTGGGGCGTGCTGCCCTCCTTCTCTCTCCCCAGCACACCCCTTCCGTAGGCCCTCAGGCCCTGCCGCCCACCCTGACTCACGCCCCCAGCCCCACAGACACACCCTGGGCCCCATTTCCCACCCTGTGGGCCGGAATTCTTGTAGGCAGCTCCTGCTAGGCCCTCATGACAGCCTCAGACACCCCGCCTCAGGCTCTTCCAGGTTCTCTGGCCTAGTGGGCTTAAGGGCGGGGAGCCTGGTAGAAGTCCCCATGGGCCTGGGTGTTTCTCCACCGGACATCTCTCTTGTCCTGTTGCAGCCACCCCTACAAACCTCCTCCTATCACCTGCTTTCACCGTGGCCATCCTGCCTTCTGAAGCTCTGGAGATCTGAGAAGGGGCCCTTCTGGACATTCTTCACCTTGGCCACCAGGTGTCAGACTTTGTCCAGCTGGGAAGAAGGTCCTGGTTGGTTTCCACCCATCAGCCCAGCCTTGGAGATCAGGGCAAGTTGGGGCGGGGCCTAGAGACCTCTGAACCGGGGAGGCTGGGGGGCCCCGATGGTTGAGATGGAGAAAGGGCTGGGTTTCTGGTTCTAAAGCTCTTACTGCCCCCACCCCCACCTCGCTGACAAGGGCTTTGTCCACTGCTGGGAAACGGGGGGAACCAGGCTGAGTCAGGGAGCTCAAGAACTGAAGTGACAAAGGCAGGGACCGTTGTGACTCCAGAGGAGGAGGAGCGGAGAAGAGGCTGCCCATCAGAGTGTCCAGCCTGGGTCATGGGCCGTGGCCCTTCAGGGTAAGGGGAACAAGGGCCCCTTGGCCCTTCCACATTCGGGGGTGGCTGTGGCCAGTGGGTGAGTGTGAGTGTGTGTGTGTGTGTGTGTGTGTGTGTGTGTGTGATGAGTGCCTGAATGAGTCTTCTAACTTACCAACATCCTGGATGTTGGGTCAGTCTTTGCGAAAGTGGGCAACTGGCAAGGCATGACTACCCTGTCCCATCCCACAGCAGAACCTCTTCTGGACCCCTCCTATGCCCCTGGAAGTTGTCTGCCCCAAGTGACAGTTCTCCATCGTGTGCACATCCTCTTAAACACAGGTGTGTTTCCAGGCCCCAAGATGAAGATGAGATTGCTGATCCACTCTGTGGCATCTGGAGATGACCAGGAGGAGGCCTTCTCTCCCTCCCTCCCGCTCTCCCTGGCCCTCCTGGAGCCGAGGGAGGGCTAGGGACAACCCCTCCCTCCCTGACACTGCAGGGGCTCAGGTATTCCGAGTTCTTAGGGTGACCTCTGGATACCTGGGCCCCTGACTATAAGAACATACCTGAGAGGTGAAACCTAAGATAACCGATGAAAAATCATCACCTCTCCCGAAACAGCTGGAAAAGCAATGACAAACTCACAGAAAAGCCTGATGACCTGTCATTTACCAGGAGCCACCTGCCCCTTGGTCCACAGTACGAAAGCCCAAAGGAGGGGCTCACACAGTCAACACCATCAGCAGGGACGTGTTTGGAGAGAGTTCAGGAACTCGAACTCTGAAGTGTGCTCCATGACGGGCTTTCCTCTGCCCACCTCCCCCGCCCTCTCCTAGGGGCACCCTCTTGGTCCGCAGCTGGCGTGAGCTCCAGCACTCGCCCCCCTTCCCCGACACCCCTTCCCTTCGCTGCCTCCCTCCGCACTGCGCCACTCCACACTACGATGTCCGACCCTCCCGTCTCTCATCCCGTGATTTGCTGCCATTCAGTCTTGCCAGCCCTCGGCCCTAGAAAGTGCCCTTCCTGCACTCTGCCCCTACCTCTGGGCATCTCTGGCTTGCTAGGGAGTGTCACAATCTGTGCCAAATGGGTTGGTGACAACAGAGGTGTGTTTGCTGACGTCATCTGGTTCCATATGGCTGCCCAGCATCCCCCCTTTTTCTTTGTTTTTTTTGTTTTTTATCCTCACCCGAGGATATTTTTCCATTTTTTGTACAGATAGAGTGGGAGGGAGAGAGAGAGAGAGAAACATCGATGTGAAGGGACACATCGAGTGGCTGCCACCCACACGACCAACCAGGGCCGGGGACAAACTGCAACCGAAGTACGTGCCCTTAGCGGGAACCGAACCCGGGTCTCTCCGGACCGCAGGCCAACGCTCTAACCGCTGAGCCAAACTGGCCAGGGCCCCCCTTTTTCTTTTTAATCCTCACCTGAGGATATTTTTCTGTCTACCTTCAGATAGAGTGGGAGGGAGAAAGAGAGAAACATCGATGTGAGAGGGACACATCGACTGGCTGCCGTGCCTTGGCTGGAATCGAATCCGCAACTCATTGATCTGCGGGCTGATGCTCTACCGCTGAGCCCAACCAATCAAAAGGGCCCAGCATCCCTTTTGATTCTCCTGTGCTTATCTCTGATTCCATTCCCCGAGTTTCTCCATTCCTCCCCAGCTGCCACCCCTCATGCAGCCTTGCCATGTTCAGATCTCTTCTGATTAAAAACAACAGCAAACCAACCAAACAAAACACCTTCCATGTGCAAGCCACCCTCTCTAGATATTCCCTTTGCCACCAAACTCCTGAGAGGCTATATTTACCCTTCCACTTTCTTCTCATCATCTCCTTATCTCCTTTTTTTTTTGTGGTACATGCACCTAGCGGGAACCGAACCCGGGACACTCTGGTCCACAGGCCGACACTCAACCACTGAGCCAAACTGGCCAGGGCATCATCTCCTTCTTTAACCTCACAATTTGGTCTCTGCCCCTCAGCTGCTCTTGCACCAGTGACTCCCTGACTTAACAAAGCCAGTGGCTTCTCCGCATTCTCTGAGTCCTTCTGGGGCAGCTGCCTCCCTAAACCCTCCTCTCTTGACTTTTTTTTTTTTTTTTATTTATCCTCACCCGAGGACATTTTTTGTTCAGATAGAGTGGGAGGGAGGGAGAGGAAGAGATAGAGAAACATCAACGTGAAAGGGACACATTGAGTGGCTGCCACCCGCACAACCCAACCAGGGCCGAGGACAAACTGCAACCGTGATACGTGCCCTTAGCGGGAACCAAACCCAGGTCTCTCTGGACCGCAGGCCAACACTCTAACCGCTGAGCCAAATCGGCCAGGGCCTCTCTTGACTTTTAATACACAATTGTCTGGACACACTTTAAATCCGTTTAAATCCGATTATGGAGAACTTTAATCTGTGCCCGCATTGTGCTGAAATGCTATAGGGATGCAAAGAGGAATAAATCACAGAGCCTGCCCTCAAGACGCTACCTGCTTACAAGGGGGACGGACACACAACTATCACTTGCCCTGCCCGTCCTCCAAGAATGGGGTCAGGCCCGGCGGTGTGGCTCAGTGGTTGAGCGTCGACCCATGCACCAAGAGGTCGCCGGTTCGATTCCTGGTCATGGCACATGCCCAAAAGTTGTGGGCATGCAGGAGGCGACCCACAGATGTTCTCTCTCATCGATGTTTCTCTCTCTCTCTCAAATCAATAAAGAAAAAAAAAAGAATGGTGCTGGATCCCGTCTTCTAGAGTCATACAACAGCACTTACTGTGTGCAAGGCGCTGGGAACAGAGCGGCGAGCTCAGGCAGCCCCTCGCCTCCCTTCTAGGGCTCACAGAGCAGCACCCAGCTGGGAGCAATCGCTCTTTCCTTGACGTCCATAGGATTTTCCCTGGGTCTTTGCACTTAATCGAATTCTACCTTGGAGCCTAGCATCCGGGTGGAGGGGCCCAGTCCCTTTTCCAGATTGTTGTGTTTAGCACACTAACTGAACACCCTCCCTGGGCCAGAGCCTGAGCTGGGTGCTGAACAGACAGGTCGGGAAGACTCAGAATCTCCCCAAGAAGCTCCCAGTGTGGGCACCCTCCCTGCTCCCTGCATTCTGGGCCTTGCGTGGTGCCTTCCCTGCGGCAGGCTGCTACTCATCTTGCCCCTGCACAGAGACAGCCCAGATGCCCTATCCTTCCTGTCTCGTTAGGCGGGAGGCAGGGCCTTGTCTGGGCAGATTTCTCTACCTGAAGAGCCTGGACCCCTCGGGGTGGGCATGTTCCCTCCAACGTGGGCCAGGTGACTCAGGGACATTCAGCAGAGCCTGGCTTGCCCCACCCACAAGCAAGTCCAATAGCTCCTGCACCTACACTCTGGCCTCTCCCTTTCCAATGGCTCATGCCCTTGGGACCGCCCCGCGCACCTCACACGTGTGCTTTGCTCCTTATCATTGCGGGTGAGCTGGTCTTCTCTTCCCAGGTAGACTGACTGCCGGCTCCGCGGGCAGGCCCAGGTTAGGTTTGGACCTCTTCCATGTCTCTGACACCCGTGAGCACAGCATCACTTGTTGCTTCGCTTAGGGTGCTGCCTCCAGGAGGCCTTTGTGCAATCCATGTATCACCCGGGAGCAGTTAGCCCATTAACTTACCCAGAGGCTCTTCGCTAGTGTCACGACACCATGTGCCGCAGGAGTGTCTCCCCAAGTGCCATGGCTACAGCCAAGCCTCTCACCTTTATCCTCTCACCCTTCCCAACAATCTCATGAGGTGCTTAGCACCCCCACGTGACAGATGGGAGAACTGGAGAATAGAGAGCTCTACAAATGTCCAAGGTCATTCAGCACATAGGTTATGGCCTGGAGGTGGAGCCCACCCTCAGCAGCGTGCGGCCGCTCGCGTGCAGTCTGATGTGAGTTGCTCTCTGCCACTACCCCGCGGCCCCACACGGCGCGGCCATGGCCTGGCTGTAGGTACCCCTCCCTGGCAGATGAAGGCACAGAGAAGGAGAGGGCCACAGCTGCGAGGGGCCCAAGGTGCGGGTTCTGGGGAACTGAGGACTGAGTGCGTGGGCTGACCACTTCGAGAGAGCACGGGAGGAACAGACAAACTGCTTTGCAGAGAGACAGACCTATGAGACCATTAAAGTAATCCGGACAGGCGAAGTGGCCCGAGCCAAGGCCGGCGAAGGAAGCTAAGCGACAGGCACGAAGGCATTCGGGAAGACGAGGGCCATGGCCCTCACGGAGAGAGCTGGAGTCTGCTGGGCACACGTCCTCCCCAGGCTCTGTGCGCCGCCTGGGTAACCTTTGCCCTCCAGGCTCCCCAGCAGGCATGGGAGCCGGGGAGGCCAGGGCCTGGAGAACACGTAGTGAGAGCCAGGGCGGGGCAGGGCCGAGCAAAGAGAGGCTTCTGGGGCAAGCATTTTATTTGTTAATACAAGAATAGAAATTTTGCAATAAATATAATCTAATAAATAACATCTCCAAATAAATAAATATTAATACAACAAACAGAGTCATGAGTGGTTGGGGCTGGGGCGCAGGGCCTGGGGGAGCTGCCCCACACACCCCAAATGCTACTGCAATGTAAACTTTCAGGAAACCCTGTGGCTGCGGCTACGGCTGCCCTCCCCAGGCTGGGCAACCCACAGGTACCCTGGAAAAGGGGCGGAGAGGAGGCACCATGGTGCTGGCAAGACAATTCAAGACAAGGTCCCTTGGTTGCCACCCTGTGCCACAACTGCGTGGTGACCCCTGCGTCGGGCCTGCCCCTGGCCCTCTGCTCCCAGCATGACCTCCAATGCAGGCCTCACCTCTTCCCAATCCCGTCCCTTCCTGCTTGGACTTGCCACTGTGCTTGATTCCTGAATTGAACGTATGGAGTTAATTGGGGGTCGGGGAGCAAAAGTTCCCCCCAGAAAGGCACGTGCTGTGCTGGCCCCTCCCTGCCCTGCAGGCGTGCTCTCGGAAGTGCCGCTTGAGGGGCTGGGTGGGCACTGGCAAGTGGGCAGAAGCGAGGCTGAGAGCCTTCACACCCACGCCACCCGGCCCCTTCGGCTCCTGAGCACTGCTCCCTGCAGCAGTGGGACGGGCCTATTGCACCTCTTTCCCAGACCTGCAGAACTCTGGGGAGAGGGAGGGGGTGGGGCTTATGGCATCACACCCTCCGAGTCCGGGAAAGGCCAGGGGCTCACAGCTTCTGTCTCCTGGCTCAACAAGTGTTGGCATACAGGTTCCTCCCTCCCAGAGTGGGAGCAGGGCTGGAGGGAGCGGGAAGAGGAGGTGGTAAAGGTCAGCTCAGAAGCCATGGGCCTCCAGGTGCAGGGTGACCGCCGCTGCTGGGGGCTGCATCTTCTTCTTGAGCCTGTTGAAGTCCTTGGCTGAGCGCCACAGCCAGGTCTGCAGCTCCTTCAGCAGCCAGAAGTCGTCCATCTTCCGGAGGAAGTCACTGTGGGCGGGGCCGGGGGCCCAGGTGGGCTCAGTCCCCGGCAGAGGCTGGGGCAGCGGGTAGCCCAGAGCTGCCATGACGCCCGCAATGCTGCCCAGCAGGCCCTGAAGGCTGGTGCAGAAGTGGGCCAGGCTGCGGCGCAGCTCAGCTGCAGCGGCCTGGCGGTTGAGGCCACGCAGGTGGCACAGAAGGTGGCTGTAGGCCTCGTAGTTCTGGGTCAGCCGCAGTTTGTCGTTGAGGCTCCGCCACACTTCCAGGTTGACAGTGGCCCTGGGCAGAGTCTCTGCCCCCAGCCGAGGTGGGTTGAAGTCAGGCTCGTTGAAAGGGGGGCCCAGGTAGTTCAGCTGTGGAAAGGAGAGGGCGATGGGGAAGGAGGAGGGCAAGGCAGCCAGCTCGCCACCACCGGGAGCTCTGTCCCCAAAGCTTCTACTTCCGGTGTCCCCACACACCGGCCCCAGCTCCATGCTCGGTCTCTCTTCACAGGCTAACTTAAGTTTCTCTGCGGAGGACTATTGCGTGGAGGTGACAGTTGAAGCAGTGAGGGGACCGAGCGCCTACGGAGGGCTGCAGAATGAGAAGGACTGAGCGGCAGGTGCTCAGGGAGGACTCGCTGACTGGCTGTGCCCGAGAGCACGCCCCCTGCGAGTGCCCACTGCGAGTGCCCACTGCGAGGCCGGGCAGAAGAGCAAGAGGAGCCGAGGACCAGGAGGCCAGCTGCAGAGGTGGAAGGTGGGCAGGAGAGTGCGGAGCCCAGAAGGAGTCGAGAAGGCAGCAGAGCGCAGCAGCGAGGCTGCGAACAGGAGGAGCCTCCGGAGATGCTGTCGGCTTTGGCAAGGAGGTGCCTGACAACCTTGGAGAGCCCGCCAGTGGCCTGGAAGCCAGATCGCAGGGGGTTAAAGAGTGAGTGGGTGGAGAGGAAGTGGAGGCAGAGGGTGTAGACCACTCCTTCGAAAACTTTGGCAGGGAAAGCCAGGAGAGAAAAGGGTCGGACCCAGAGGGGGTAGCAGAGTCGAGCAAAGGGTTTCTGGACAGGGAAAGCGGGCGAAAGGCAGAGGGGCCTGTGGGCATCAGAGCTCCGCTGGCCTCTGACAGGCTCAGTCCCACCAGCTGAAGGGCTGCGGACAGTACACACAACCCCTAAGGAAGGGCTCAGCCCGCAGGGGCAGGACTGCAGCGGGAGAAACTGAGGCAGCCTCGAGGGCCGGGCTGCAGGGAGGGCATGCAAGTCCGTCTGGGGACAGGGCAGAGCCTTCCAGCCCGGGGGAGAAGCCTGGGGCCCAGGGAAAGGGCTGAGGGAGAAGGTTCAGAAGGGAGAGAAGGGAGAAGAGAGGGGCGAGGCCTGGGATAGGCAAGGGCCCAGGGGGAGGTTCACACGCTGACAAGCACAGAGACAAACTAATTTCCTCGGTGTATCCTGGGGCTGGAGCCAGCTCCCCCGCCACCCTCCTCCCCTTCTTTCCCTGGCTCCCGAGGAGGGTCTGGGACGTAGAAGAGGAACACGGGAAGAGGGGCCAGTTCCCCGTGGTCCTCACTCACTCTGACCCTCCTTCCTCCTCTCCTGGGCTCTCTGCACACCTTTGGACTGCCCCCAACTTCTTATGGCGGGACTTCAATCCGCCCGAGCCCCTGCCACGACTGGCCTGGGTTCCCCGAAGCCCCCTTCCCACAAGTCCCCCTAGGAGGCCCAGCTAGGACAGGACGGGGAGGCAGACAGAAGGAAGGCCCGCGGGTCCAGAGCAGCAGGGCCCCAGGTCTGGGGCAGAGGCGAGCTGGAACACAGGCATGGGAGGTGGGGCCCCTCCATCCCCACCCAGCCCCACCCGTGCAAGAGACACCACAACACGGTGTAAACAGAGGAGACTTCCCCGGCCCCCAGGGGGAGGCGGGCGGCTGGGCAGTCAGCCAGTGGGGCACTGGGCCAAGGCGGGTGCGAGGCCTGCCCACATGCCTAGTCCTGGGGCCAGGGATGGGGAGGAAGGGGCACCCTAGAGGGAAGGGCAAGAGATAGGCCAGACATGGAGACTGCTTGCAGCCAAAGGTCCCCTTTTCATCACCCCACATTCATCAGCCCCCCCCACACACTGTTTGGTCTCTCTTCCCCCAACTCCTCTTCTCATCCTTCACCCATTCCCAGACCCCTGCGCTGCTCTAGATACTCACGTAGGTCCCAGCCAAGCTGCGGAGTTGGTGCTCCAGGTAGCGGGTGAGGTCATAGGTTTTCTGGATGGAGGGACCAGGCCCTGGGTCCCCTGTGCGGTTGAGGGCTGGCACGGCAGGGAGGTGCCAGAGCACAGTGCACAGGCACGCGAGCATCCCCCACGAGTCCCCTGTGGACAGGATGGGCAAGAAGCAGGAGATTGGGCCGGGCCTGGTAGAGGCAGCAGCTGGCAGCTCCTCAGGTGTCTGTCCCCACCTTGGGCTGGGAGGGAGGGGGTGAGGGTGGGACTCCAGATGGAAGGCAGGGGGGGATGGAGGAGGGGAGTACTCCTGGCCCAGGAAAGTGTGTGTGTGTGTGTGTGTGTGTGTGTGTGTGTGTGTATAGGCATGTATGTTATATGTGTTATACCAGTAGGTAGTGGAGAGTATATCTGAGGGTCAGCTAACAGTCACCTGTACATGTGCTGCCATGTAGGTGTGTGTGCAAGGTGGGCCAGGCCTAGGGACACAGCTCACTGATCCAGAGGTCCAGGTGTACCCCAGCCTCCCAGCTCCACTGCAGCTCGGGGGAGTGAAGGGCGGGAACAGCAGGTCCGAGCGGCCAGCTGAGGGCAGTCGGCCTGGGAGGGGTGCGGAAGACTGTCCCCTCCCCACCGAATGAGCTAACAGTCCCGGTCAAGCTATAGGAGGCAAGGTGTAGGGTCAGACCACTGGGGTCAGGGTGAAGGACACAGGGCTGGCTCATGTGGTCAGTGGTGGGGACCTTCTGGGACACGATACTTGGTGTGGAAGTGGAGGACGGGTTGATTAAAGGAGAGTTAATGTTCACTCTCTGGGGCTGGCCGCAGTGTGGACGTTTGCCCTATTCTTTTTTTTTATCCTCAATCGAGGACATTTTTCCATTTTTTGTTCAGATAGAGCGGGAGGGAGAGAGAGGAAGAGAGAGAGAGAGAAACATCGATGTGAAAGGGACACATCGAGTGGCTGCCACCCACACGACCAACCAGGGCCGGGGACAAACCACAACCGAGGTACGTGCCCTTAGCGGGAACCGAACCCGGGTCTCTCCGGACCGCAGGCCGACGCTCCAACCGCTGAGCCAAACCGTCCAGGGCTGCCCTATTCTTATCTAGGGTTTTAGGTAAGAAAAGTTTGACCTGAATGATGCTTTCAGTCACCTGCAGTGGAGGGGTGGGGGAGGGAGAGGAAGGGAAAGAGGGAGACAGAATGATGTATTCAATGAACTGGGCTTGTCAGCCGATGGTGCTGGAGTTCGGGCACCCCGGGATGCCAGGGGCCAGGGGCCAGGGGCCAGGGGCCACTGCTGTGGGAACAGACATAGGCAGATGGGAAACATGGTTTCCCCAGCTTTTAGGTGAGGTCCAAGATCAAGAGCGCTTGGCCAGGATTCAGTGAGCACTGGGACTGGGCGAGGGCTAGGGCTAGGGCAGGGTAAGGCTGTCGTTGGCACGGGGCTAGGTTGGCGTCAAGGGCTGGGTTCCTTGGAAAGCTCCAGGTGAATTCACTGGGGTTTGGCTGAGAGAGTGTGGCTGAGGGCTGAGCCCAGCTGGGGGATGTGGTCAGCTGGGCAGGCAGAGGGCTGGCTGGGAGCACGGCGCTGGAACGTGCCGACTCCGGCTGGACAGGGCGATGCATGGCGGCTGCCGGGCTCCGCGGCGGTTTGGATTCTGAGCTCGGGCAGGTGGGAGACGCTGAGTGGGGTTTCCCTTCTCATTTCTAGTTCATACTTTCAGATGTTCTGCAGTGACATGGTGCTTTGATAGAAATAAGCTGGATGTGGGTTTAACAATTTGACTGTACTTAGAGTTAGGACAGGTTTGGGGTTAAGACTTGGTTACGTTTACAGTCAGTCACAACACTGGGTCAGGGTTTAGAGGGTAAACCTTGGAAAGGTTTAGGATTCGAATATATAGAATGTATAGGGCTCAGGTGGGGACTTCTGCAGTGTCCCCAAATGGTCGATCTTGACTCTGCCAGATGCCTGACTGGCTGGCTTTAGGGACAGAGCATGGGAAGAGAGGCTTTGCTATCTCAGGGACCCCGCCCTCTTGGGTGAAGGGCCCTGGGTCTGAGGGGGTGTGTGCGTGCACCCACACATATGTGTTTTAGGACAGAGCAGGGTCAGGCACGTCACTGCTCCCTGAGGAGACAGTCTCCCCTTTTCCTCTTCCCCCCTCTGCAGCCTGCCTGTGCATTCCCTCCTATTCTTTCTTTTTTGTTGTTGTTAATCCCTACCCAAGGATTTTCCCCACTGACTTTTAGAGAGAGTGGAAGGGAGAGAGAAACATTGATATGAGGGAGACACATCAATTGGTTGCTTCCCGCACGACCCCAATGGGCCAAGGTTCAAACCTGCAACCCAGGTATGTGCCCTTGACCATAATCGAACCCCCGACCCTTCGGGCCACAGGCTGATACTCTAACCACTGAGCTAACTGGCCAGGGCCTTATTCTTTCTTTCCATATGAGCTCTTGCTGACTCTCTGAGTTCCTCTCTAGTCCCTGTTCTTCACATCCCAAGACAACTCCAGGCCCTTCTCTACACGAAGCCTTGGACGACTCTCAGCCTCGACATCTGACCGAGTCACTCCCAAGACCCTAGGGGTACAAGGTGGGGTTCGGTTTGGAGGTTAGAGACCTGCTGAGGTGGGCAGTGGCCCTTCCAGCCTTGAGGGAGTTTTCAGGACTGAGTCTGGCCTCGCTCAGTTAGTGGTGATGCCGAGGGTCCTGACTGCAGCAGGAACTGGTCTGCCCTTTACCCCACCCTGCCGTGGGCAGCCCTGCTGGACAGGAGTTCTGGGACACGGCTCTGCGTAGCCCATGGGGGGCAGTCAGGGACCCAACTGTGGGTCTTGTCCCCCCCCTTCTGGGCCCTGTGGGACATCCCTGGGGAGCACTGGCTCCCTACACAGGGACAGCAGGGGGAGAGCGGGAGAAGCCTTTGGATAAACAAGAGCTAAGTCATCTGGGCAGAAAAACGGCTCATGAAATTAACCAGACAGGGCCGGTGTTTCCAGGAATATTTCAGTTCTGAGGTAACTGTCACTGCAGTCGGGGGTGGTGGGGGGGCAGGGGAGAGAGCAGAAGGATCCAACTGACTGACCCATGGAGGGAACCAGAAAGAGGAAAGGAGTCTCAGAAATCCAGAGGAAAAAGAGGCTAGGAGCCCGGCTGGTGTGGCTCAGTGGCTGAGCGTCGACCCATGCACCAAGAGGTCACCGGTTCGATTCCGGTGAGGGCACATGCCCAGGTTGTGGGCCCAATTCCCAGTGGGGGGCATGCAGGAGGTGGCCAGTTGATGTTCTCTCTCATCAGTGTTTCTATCTCTCTCTCCCTCTCCCTTCCTCTCTCTCTAAAGTCAATAAAGAAAAAAAAAAGAGGCTAGGAAATGAGAAAGGGGACAAGACAGGGCTCTACCCTCTGCTATAGCAGCTTCCACGACGGGCAAAATGTTCCCATATCTCAGGCATCAGCACTGAAAGCATCGGGGCAGAGAACACCTGTGGTTTAGTTGTGAGTAGCTTGCTGCCTGCTCCTGTCCCTAGGACGGAAGTGCAGTGGGCATCCTGAGCCCTCCACGATCCTGCTCTCCAAGTTCATAGTGTGCAGGTGGACCTGGCCACTAAGGACTGTGTCCTGGGCCCCCTCTCCCCTGCTGGCCCCCGCCCAGCTCCCGCCCCAGCTCTGCCTCTGGCTGCTGCCCACTGATTGTTTACATCCCGTCTTCCCCTGTGTTTATAAATCCGGCTGAGCACGTGAGGAGCTAATGAGTGCAGCTCACGTTTCCTGCTGCAGCCCTCTCACCCCCACCCCATCCTGGCCCCCGCTGGGGCCGGCGCCTAATTCCATCCAGATCCCTGGGCCCTGGGAACCGAGGCCCCCCTCATGAACACTCACATGCGCGTGAGGGCGCAAGAGAGAGAGAGAGAGCTCGGGTGCACACACGCACGTGCACTCTGCCCATGCAGGCGCATGGCTACCCTGACACGGCTGCAGCAGGCACACCTGTGTTCGCATGAATTCAGCCAGCGGCCCCTCCGTCCCGAGCCTGCATCCCCCAGGCTGACCTCAGTGAGGGTGTGGGGCTCAGCCGTGCAGACGTGCTGGGATGCTCAGGGTGGGTAGGACGAGCAGCCAGCGGTAGCAGCTATCAGCGGAGAGCGTAGGAGCCAGGGAGGCATCACAAAGCCAGAAGTGTTGGGCTAAATGTGGGAGCCAGAAGGCAAAGCCCGGCCCTCGGGCTAGGCTAGGACCGCGTCCTGGTGACTTTGGAGGGGTCTGTTGAGGGGATGTGGGGGAATGAGCAGTTTAGGGGGTGGTATGAGATCCAGGCACTGAGACTGTAAGAAAGGGCCCTGGGGGGCACTCCCCAACCTGCCTACCCAGGGAAAGGCCCACAGAAAGAGCAGGACTTCCCTTGGCCTCTGGGCTGCTGGCCTCCCCTCCCCTCCATCTTCTCCTTGGCCCCTGCCCCCCAGGCCACTGAGAGGTGGCTTAGTGAGTGGGTGCACGCGGGCCTCGAGAAGTCAGGAGACCTCACTTTGCCACCAGCCCATCAGGCGATGGGGCTTTCGTGAGGGGTTGCACTGTGCACGCCCAAGGTCCTCGGCAGAACCGCGGGGGCTGTGTGCTGTGCACTTCACCAGCACCCCCTTCTCTTCCACCCAAGTGACAGATGAAACGCGGCCTGGAAAAGCAGCAGCCGGGCAGGCCAGCTGCCTGGCCTTAGGAAGTCAGTGTGGACACAGGAGTGGGGTTTTCGTTGGAGTGAGAGGGTTCTGGGTTGTGCTGTAAGAGGACCCCCAGTGTGCTCAGAGACTGAAACCAGGGGAGCTGGGCCACCAGCTGGAAGCCAGGCAGGGGGACAAGGTAGGAAACAGTCGGGGCAAGTGTGTGGGTGAGTTTCAAAGGGTGTTGTTATCCAAAAGGCCTGGGAGGGGCTCCGAGGGTCGGGCAGGAGCCAGGGTGTGGACGAGCAGGTGGGACTGTGGGGAGGAATGTGAAGTGTCACCAGTAGACTGGCTGGGGTGGCAGGGGGTGTGCAGCAGTGTGGCCGGGGCAGGCGTGCGGGGCTCTGTGAGGGGGAGAGCGACGACAGACTCGGGCGGCTGGGTGACAGCTGGGGCCACCGCTGTCGGTGCTCTCCCCCGGGTGAGTGCGTGGCTCCTGGGCAGCGAGTCTGAGCCAGTGGTGGGAGCAGGTCTGGTCAGTCGGTGGAATGTGCCCCTCTGTCCCACGGAAGGGGCCGGGTGTGCTTGGGAGCCCAGGAGGGGTCTGTGGGGACGCTGGCAGGACGGAGACGTCCGTCTGGGTCCGGGTCAGAGCGCCGGACAGAGGAGTGTGTCGGGTGCCCACCCCCAGCCTGTCTCCAGGGCCCGGACCTCTGCTCCCGGCTGTCCCCTCCTGCCCCCCGGGGGAGGGCCGGGCCGGGCGCAGGAGAAAACCGGGACGGGGTCCGCCGGGACTGGGGCTCTCTGGAGAGGCTTCTGGAGAGCAGCTTGGAGTTGCTGACAAGGAAGGTGGAGGAGCAGGGATCGGGGCCACTCGGAGAGGCTCGGGGGACGTGGGTTTCCCTCGGGGGCTCTGCCCGGGAACTGAGCCGGCGGCCGCTCGCTGGCCCTCCCCCGGCGGTGACCTCTCGCTCCCGGCCCTCTCCCCGCGGCGGCGGCGCCTTCCCCTTGTGTGGCCCCGGCGCCCCCGGCCCCGCCCCCGGCCCGCTCCCGCCCGGTCGCTCCCTTCCCGTCGGCGGGGGCGGGGGCGGGGTCCGGGGCTCCGGGCTCAGCCGGGCCGCTGCTCCTTCCCGCGCGTCGACTCCCGGCCCCGTCCGCCCGCCCTCCCGCGGGCCGCCAGCGCCGAGCGGCCGCCGCCGCCGCTCCCCGGCGGGTGACGGACTTTTTCCTGCCCGGTCCGGCCGGGCTGCGCCCGCCCCCCCGCACTAATCACTCCCAGGCCAGGGCGGGCCGAGTGGAGGGCTCGCGGCCGCCGCCCGCCCCGCCGGCCCTACCTGCCGCCGGCTCCGCGGCCGCGGGCAGCATGGTGGCTCCGGGCGCGCGGCGCGCAGCGAGGAAGCCGCGAGTCCGGCCCGCGGCCCGGCCGGCCCAGCCAGGCTCGGCTCTGCTCTCCGCCTCTCCTCCCCTTTCGCCCGCCCTCCTTCCCGCCCTCTCCTCCCGCCGGGCCGGGAGGGAAAGCGGCGGCCCGAGGTGTCGGCCTCCCTGCCTCCCGCTGGCCCGCCCCGGGCTCCCTGCCTCCCCGCCCGCCTCCTCCCCGGCCCCCACGTCCCCGCGCCGCCCTCCCGCAGCCCGCTCCCCGCGCTCTCGCTCTCCCGGCTCTGCGCGGGGCTGTCCGTCGGGACTGGCGGGACCCCGCCGCGCTGGGGCTCCAGGTGGCCGCCTCCCCGGGGCTGCTGGCGCCGGGACTCCCCGCCGCGCTCCCGGCCACCTCCCGGCCCCGCGAGCGGACCCCAGGAACGCCGCGCCCCGCCGGGCCGCTCTCGAGGGCGCCCGGCCGCCTCCACCGGCCCGAGCCCTGCTGGCGGGGCAGGTCCTGGCTGGGCTCGGGGCTCCCGGGGGAAGGACGGAACCGGATCTCGAGGATCCCGGGCGGGGGCGGGGGCCGGGGCCGCGGGCGCCTGGCTCCTACCTGCTCGGAGGTCCATGGGGCCGGGGGCCGGGCCGGCCGGGCGAGGCTCCTCTCCCGGAGGCTGGCGGAGTGGGAGGCGAGCCGCGGCTCCAGCGAAGCTTTAATAATCCCATCCGCCAGGCCCACTCGCAGGTTTTTTTCGCTCGGTTTCGGATTTTTTTTTTTTTTTTCAGTGTGGGACATTCTGCAAACTTTTTTTTTTTTTTTCTGACGTGTAAAGCTGTAACCACAAATTGTAGCGGCCCTCCCTGGGGTGGGGGGAGGAGGGGGGAGGAGGGAAGGGAGGGCTTCTGGTGCTCCTCTCCCTCCCACAACCCCGAGGGGGGGTGAGGTGAGGCGAGGCTGCGGGGGTACCACCCTGGGCCTCCTGGGGGAGGGGGCGGGAAGGGCATCCGTCCGTCCGCAAACTCGCAGAGCTCAGGGAGGGAGCCGCCCGCTCCTTTCCCTCGCCCTCGGAGTCTGCCTGGGGCGCTGCTCCCCGTCCCGCGTGGGCCCCGCTCTCGCCCTACCTCTGCCTTCTCCTCTCTAACCTTACCGCCCCCTCCCCCCTCGGCATATGCAATGACACATTCTCTCAAATGCCAGCAAGCTGGCCTCCAAGCTAGTGATGGTGTTTTTCCTGCTGCCCTTTGTCTGCGCTGACCGCCCCCCTTGCCTATTGTCCGCCGCCTGTCCCATTTCCAAAAGCTGGGGCTAAGTGAGGCCCTGGCCGGGGCAGGTGACTAACCGGTTCACAATGCCCCCTGCGGGGGTGGAAGAGGGCATCACAGGCCCACTGCCCAGCTGGGAGGAAAGAAGAGGGCACTTGGCGAGGGCTTTCCTCTCAAGTTCACGAGGTTCTTCATTCTTCCCAGTGGCCCGGGCAGAGCACATGGATGGGGGTTTGTAATTCATTAATCAGCACGAGGCACCCAGACCATTTCAACACCAGGGCTTCGTGGGTGACTCAGCGAGAATGTTCCAATTCAAGGCGGTGGACAGACCCCATTTCTGAAATGCTTCCCCATGGAGACATTTGGCTTCCTCCTGCCTTTGGGGCTTGGGGGGGGTTTGTTTCTTTTTCCCGTGGTGGGGTAGAGGTGATCTGGCTTTGGAGTGTTGTCCCTCCTTTCTTCCCTCAGGCCCGGGTTGGGACTTGCTGGGTGGAATATCCAGGGAACCCATAAGCCTAGACCCTCCCTGGAGGGTCTTTCTCCCTCTACAGGGGTCTACTAGGAAGAGTGCAGAGAAAACAGTTGCCATCTGGGGCCGTGCAGAAATCTCCACTTCATAACTTTTCTTGGGGGACAGTTATTTGATATCCATGGCTTGAGAGCTCTAGAACCAGACCAGCAATAAAATCATTTGGTAATTAGTTGCTTTTGTTGTTATTTGTTGTTTCAAAGGGATAGAGGCATTGGTGGGCCAGACCTGGATGGTGACTCCTCTCTGGGACAGCATCAGAGCCCACGGTCCCCACTCCTGCCCTGGTGCCCCCAGAGAAAGGTGGACGCCCTGCCAGCTCTGCCACAGCCCCTCCAGCCTGCAGGTCACAGCAGGCGGCACGGCCGTGCCCAGCGCCGGTTCCCAGGGCAGCTCTTCCCTTTCTGCACTTCAGGAACTGAGGTGGGGGGGATGGGGGGGTGGGGAAGAAGTTTGTTTTCAATTACCTCACTGGAGTGGGACAGACTTTGTTGTTGAGTTTTTTTCCCTCTTCTTTTCCTTTTTTCCTAAACAAGAAAACGAACTGGGAAAGGGGAGCTAGCCTGAGGTTGGGGGCAGGGGACTTTCTGGGGCATGGGCAGCAGCTCTGATGAAGCCTACCTTGGAGGGGCCCTTTTGAAAAGTGCTCAGAGCTTCCCTCTTCCCCCTTCCCCCAGCCTGCACACTGGAGTTTCAATGACATTCTTGGCCGGTGAGCCCAACAATCTTTGATGCCCATGCCAAGGTCAAGAAGGCAGGTGCCCAGTGGGTGACTGGCGCTGAGGCCAGTCAGAAGGTCCCCTAGCAGCCCCCGTCACAGGGAGGGAGCCACCGAAGGGAGCAGAGGCAGAGGGGAGCTGCTCAATCCTCCTGCCTGGTCTGCAGCCTGCTCCTATGGAGAGAGTCTGCACAGACAATGTGGTTTGGATTTGGCTGCGCCCCCTCAGCACCTTATAAAGCACCTTGCTGAGTCAGGGAGAAAGCAGCCCCACCGCGGGAGAGGAGGGGAGGGCAGGAGAGAAAGGGGGAGAGGGGAGCTGAAGGAGGAGGGTGGGGGCTGAAGGAAGAGGAGGGGGAGAAGAGAAGGGACAGAACAGGAAAGAGGAGACACAAAGGCAAACAAATGGGTGGGAGTGGGAAGGAGGGGAGGAGGCAGAAGCCCCAGGAGAAGCCGAACAGACTCTGCAGCTGGGGGGGGGGGGGCTTACCTTGTTCCGCCCCCACCCCACACATCTTTACCTCAAGAGTCTAGAAAGCATGAAGTTCACAGGAACCAAGGGCTGCGACTCCGACGCGAGGCCAGGCCAGGTGGGTGCAGAGGCCACTGGCTTTCCACACGCCCTGGGCCTGATGCTGTGACCCCACAGGCTGAGGAAGTCACGTTCTGCCTCTGTCTCCTGCCTGGACTTGTATCCTTGCCCTCTCCCCTCACGGGGGTGGGGGGATCAGGGAGTGGGGGGCAAGCCTCTCCCCTCCCCCTCTTCTCTACTGCCAAAGGGAAAATCAGCTCCATCTCCTAGCTGCCTGTGCCCCTCTGCCATGTCTGGGCAAAGGCAGCAAGCTAGGAGCTGCCAGTTGGGTTGGGGTGGGGGCTGGAATAAAGACTGTGCCTTTATTCTACCAAATCCCAAATGGGAGTGGGCTGTTGGAATTAGGGGAGAAGGAAGGAGAGGCAGAGAGGGAATAGCACCTCCAGGGTTCCTGTGGGTGGCAGGGTACAGGTGCTGCCCTCTGATTTCCAGCTGGGGACCTCAGGAAGCTGCCTGGCCCCTGTGGTTCTCCTGCACAAACCACCTAGGACTGCTGGGGGGCAGGGCAGAGGGCAGAGGGGCCACCACCGCCACCGGAGCTCAGATCCTCCGTGTGTTGTGCAGGCATTTCCTGAGCCCTGCTGGGTTCTGGGTCCTGTAAAGAACCGAGGGAAGAGGAAACCCACCCCTGCCTTCAAGTCTGTGACAAGGCACACCCATTAAACTGTCTGAGATCAGAGGATGGCGAGGGGAGGAGAGTTCTGGGAGGAGGTACAGCGTCAGGGTGGAAATGTGGCTGGGTGGCAGGAGGGGCAGTGGCAACCACAGGCAGAGGTCCTGAGTGGCCCTGGGCATAGCCCACAGGGCTCCTTGCAACGGGCAGAGGGCCAGGCTGGGAGTTAGGACGCTGGACTTCCAGTTGGTCAGTGTGGCCATTGGGACAAGCCTGTCACCTCTCTGTGGAATGGGGTAGACCACCTCTCCCAGTCCCTGTAGGATGGTGGGAGTGTCAGTGAGCTGAGGAGGACCTGCCTGCTGCCCTCTGCGTCCTTCTAGACTCCAAGCCTCACCATCCACGGTGGGGAGCAGGCGAGGCCCCAGGGGGCATGGCTGGGCAGGGGCAGGGCTGGCACTGGGGATGACTGAGCTGCCCTCCAAGAGGATGGGAGTGAGTCAGTGTTGGCTCAGGCATGAGCTAGGTTCCCACCTCTCCCTCCCACCTTCCCCGTAACCGGCATCCCCAGGGAAGGCTCTCAGATGCCCCAACAACACTATGCCCCCACCGCTGAAGGACTGGCGCTGTAGGGGCCTTGGCCTCTAGGTGTCCTGGATTCCTGAGCCGGGGAGGCTTCTGGTCGGATCCCTCCTAACGGGGGAACAGGAGTGTGGTGGCAGAGAAGCCCGCAGTGGTGAGTAAGGATGTCCACTAATTCATTCATCTGCTCACCAGACATTCCCAGAGCAGCAAGGCCGTGCCAAGTGCTGGGACGCGGAGGGGCCTAAGGGGCTGTGGGGTCAGGGCTGGAGCTGACCTGCGTGCAGGCAGGAGAGCAGGGACATGCCGTGGCGCATCTGCCAGCCTGTTGCAATGCCTGGTTTTCCAGTGATGTTACTCCTTTAACCCCACCACTTCTCAGGTCCTGGCCTGGGCTTTATGTAGACAATGTCCTCTCATTTATTAAAAATATGTTTTTATTGATTTTAGACAGAGAGGAAGGGAGGAGAGAGAAACATCCATCAGCTGCCCCCTGCACGCCCCCTACTGGGGATCAAGCCCCCAACCTGGGCACGTGCCCTGACCAGGAATCAACCAGCGACCTCTTGGTGCCTGGCACAAAACCCAACCAACTGAGCCACACTGGCCATGGTTCTTTCTTTCTTTTTCTTAGAGAGGGAGGAAGGGCGAGGGAGGGAGAAACACTGATGTAAGAGAGACGCATCTATCGGTTGCCTCCCCCAGGCCCCCTGACTAGGGATTGAACTTGGTGCACAAGGCGATGCTCCAACCGAGCCACACTGGCCATCTCGTTCTTACAATAACCCTGTACAATAGGAACTGTTATTCCCCATGTATGTGAGGAAACAGGCTTGGTAAGATGAGGTCACCTAAGGTCACACGAGCAGTAGAACCAGGATGGGAGCGCAGGACTGGGCCCTCAGCACCCTGCCCTTTCAGCTACCCCTTGCAGATGCAAAGCTGGGAGGGGCACTGAGGCAGGGCACCCTGGGAAGGAGAAGGCTGGGTGCGAGAGCAGCTCCAGAAACAGCAGGACTTGCCTAGCGCCCGGCACGGAGGTATCACCCGGCACGCCTGGTCTCTTCCGGACACTACGCCATTCCTTGGGACAGAGTCCCCATCTGCCTGAAGCAGAGACCCAGGCTCTCCTGCCCGCCACCCACTACTGACAAGCGGTGACTGTGACGCTGGGCTGTCATCCTCCCACCCTCCTGGGTCAGTGGGAGGCACCAGGCCTAGAGTGCCTTAGTCCCCTCAGCTGCAATGGTAGGTTCTAGGAGCAGTGAGTTTGAACTATGGACCGAGCACTGGGCGTTAGAGGGCCACCGCCTGCAGAACCCGGACCAGGGTGTCCCTGTGCCCCTGGGGGCCGGACAGTGGCCTGCAGAGGGCGGGGCTAGGCAGGCTCAGAGGCCAGACAAGGCCCCGGG